TTTACACGCCCTGTGGTTGAGTCTGTTGAGATTCCTTACCGAGTTCTTAAAATGCTCAAGGTAGCATCTTCTTCTTTTCTCCCAAATCTTGGGCTCCGTCTTGTCTTTGAAGGCTCTACTTAATTCTGCCTTCCTCACATAACCTTCGGCCTCCAGCATGTTATATCAGGGCAAGGACTGCCAAGCAAAGCAGCTATGTTTACATATCATTGCACATTTTAAATATCACCCTCATGACAGTGCATCCTATGAGTAGTTGTTCAGTCAAAGTATATGGCTCAAAGGTGGAAAGAAATGGTATATGCCAGACAAAGATAAATATCGACTCCAATTGCTATCCTTTCCTTTGCTACTTTGGGTGAAACGGAAATTCATGGAGGAAAACCTGCAGTCTGCAGACTCTGATCTAGTTCAGGCGTCTTTGTATGTGGTGAGACAGAAGGAAGCCCAGAGGCGATGTGTGCCATAGATAGACCTCTACCGTTCTTGCTTTTGAAAACACTGGGATGGAAAGTGAAACCAGTGCTGTCTCTCGCTGATCTCACAGGTTCAATGAGAGGCTGGTTTCATTTTAATTTTATTGCTGAAGTGAGAAATCATTTTCAGTTTACCTCTAGCATAGCATGGCCATAGATAACAATTGTGTGGAGACTAATAGTTTTATTGCCAAAGGTTTTCTTATGGAACCATTCATTGCTTGTCAATTCTAAGCGAATCACACAAGTAGATTGTGTTCATTATACCTGCTCAAGTAGGCTTATTTCTACAGGTAGATGTAAATTACAACTGGTGACCAATCTGTCCACCAAGCTATTCATGTGACATTTCTGCATGTCTCATATTTCATCTTGGGCTGAATTAACTTCAGTTTGCTTGTGTTGAATGCTTTCTAGACAAGGAAAGGGCCTCCTGTCCCACCTCTGCCTAAAGTCACCCCAACAAAGGAGCTCCAGCAAGAGAACATCATCAATTTCTTCGAAGACAACTTTGTTCCAGAAATAAGCGTGACGACACCTTCCCAGGTAAGCACCTGTCTGCAGCGGAGGTGCCCGTGAGGGTGCTACGGGAGACTTCCCAGGGGCAGCTCTCCCATGGCCAACATTGGAGCCATAGTATGTCAATTGCCATTTAAGTTTGTTTGAATTACCTGGTATATTTAAAAATACAGTGTATTTAAAAATAACAAGGGCTTCAAAAAGTTCATGAAAAAATGAAATTGAAAGATGGTGGAGTTTTTCCACAGGCTTTTTATTCCCCTTCAAACTCTTAGATATGACAATGTTTTGCTGCTTTTTATAAGGTTTTCAGCAGCTAATTACTCAAAGGAGGATAGCCCATTCCTTCTTCTTAGTCTGTTCTTAGGCTGGAAGCTCTGCTGAGACCTGTTCCCTTTGGGTGGCCCTGGTAGTATTTGAAATATCAAAACCAGAGCTTCCAGCAACATCAAAGCCACCACAGGATGACAAGCTGACAGGCACGTGGTGCGCTCGAACATCCTAATTGTGAGGCTGGCACCCAATGGGGCAGCGTCTCGTTCTGTTGCACACAGGGTCACTCTGAACCAAACGGACTCACAGCATCTAACTACAACATATACCCTTCATAGCTTTAAAATCTTCCTGTAGAATTGCATGAGCTGGAATCAACTCAGTGGCAGGGAGTGAGCTGAAATTGGAAAAATACTGAACAGTGTAAAATGAAGAATTTTAATAGAGGCAGTTCCTGGGTTAAGTACATCTGATTTATAAACAGTTCCTATTTATCCTATTTATGTTGGATAAATTTGCCTTCCTTTTGATCTGGCTGAGCCAAAGCCTACTATAACAAATTATTCTTCCTAATCACTTTCATTTGCTATCCCTTCAGCTGTTAAATCATCAAAAAGGCATGAGCCTCTTTTCTCACTAAAAACTAAGAGGAAAACCAAACCCACTGACATCTAGTTAATTTCAGCTTTGGTTGACCCAGTATAGAGTGTCACTGGTTGCAAGTCTTTTAGGAATAGAAAACCTCCTGTTTCTCCTGTGAAGCTATTGCTGGGTTTGAACCATTGACCTGTGGTTAGTAGCTCAGTGCCTAGCCTATAGCATCACCAGGGCTCATTTTTCCTTTTTGAGCTAAAGCAAAGGCCAAATAAGCACCTGGTTCAACATAGCTACGCATTCTTAAAAACACAGTTAATAATAGATCATATTTTTAACCTAGCAACTGCCCTAATCGTGCAAATGATACCAGTCTGATATAATCATTTAAGTATCTTGGTCTATTAAAAATTTTTTTTCTAGGTATATAAATAAATTTTTGTTTTGTATGCTTGGATTTTAAAATTATATCTCTGAAGCATTTTCATTCCATGTTATTTCTTTGGCAATATGTATAGCTATATTGCATATCTATATTTAACCCCAGTATTCTATTGAATGGATGAACCATTCATCACTTACATACCATCCACTGATCATTGGACACATTGCTTCCAGTTGTTATTTCACCACCACTCATTGAGCAGATTTATATAGGAATTGATGTTCACACCTTCTGTTATCCTTTCTCTATGCATTCATTATAGGGTAGTTTAAGACAGAAAACAGTTCTTGGTTATTTGATTCCTACTCATGCAGACTTCATGTCTGGCAGGAAGAATTACACTCTCATGGGTTTTCAATGGCTATAATAAAAATAAGAACAAACTCACTGCCAGAGTGTCGATTCTGATTCATGTGGACCCCAGTGGGCGGTATAGAGCTGTCCCTTTGGGTTTCCAAGATTATACCTCTTCAAAGGAGTAGAAAGCCTCATCTGTCTCCTGCAGAATATCTGATGGTTTAGAACTACTGACCTTGGGTCAATAGCGTACCATGTAACCACTGCACCACCAAGGCTCATTATGATTACTGGGATAGAGACTGCCAGGCCTTTCTTTCAAGATGTTCTACATGGATTTGAATCTCCAACCTCTCAGTTAGCAGCTAAACACATAACTTCAGTTTATTCCCCCCAGAAAAGTAGGAGAATGAAATGAAGTGAATTTCCGGATGGCCTTTCCTTTCCATAACGTCATTCCTATTTACACGATTCAGCAAATGGAAAAGCGACAGCTCCCACTGCTTTGGGAGGCACTTAGGAGTTCTGGTGGCGTAGTGGATTACGTGGTGTTCTGCCAACTTCAAGGTCAGAAGCTTAGGAGAAAAATGAAGTTTTCTTCTTCTGTAAATATTTTGTTGTTGTTGTTGTTGTTGTTAGGTGCCCTTGAGCTGGTTCCACTTCATAGTGGCCCCTCTACAGCAGGACAAAACATTTCCCTGTCCTGTGCCATGCTCTCAGCTGTCCCTTTGGTTGAGCCCATTGAGGCCATTGTTGCCACCGTGTCAGCGCCGCTCGTCGAGGGCCCTCCTCTTTTTAGCTGCCCCTCTCCTGCGCCAAACACGATGTGCTTATCCAGGGACTGGTCTCTCCTGACAGCATGTCCAGAGGACGTGAGATGGAGTCTTGCCGTCCTGGCCTCTGAGAAGCATTCTGACTGTACTTCTTCCAAAACACATTTGTTTGTCCTCCTAGCAGTCCGTGTTGCTTTCAGGATTCTTCACCTATGCCAAAATTCTAATGCATCAATTCTTCTTCAGTCTTACTTAGTCAATGCCCCACTTTCACATGTGCATGGTGAAATTGAAAATACATCACTTGGGTCAGGTCCTCAAAGTAATATTTTTGATTTTCCACACTTTTAGCTTTAAAGCCTCAGAAATCCATAGGGGTAGTTCTGCTTTGTCCCACACGGTCACTGTGAGTTGGAATCAACTTGATGGCAGTAAGCATTTTTTTGGTCTGTAAGCCCCACTCACACCTCACTCTGGGGACCCTACAGAATTGTATCTGTAACAGAAGAGGGAAACTCTCTCATGGCCTCAGCTCCGAGCTGCCTGGATGCCATTTAAGCCACATCTTTGTTTTTTGAAACACTCCTCTTGTCAACAGTCAAGCCAAAGACATTTCCCACCCCTCTTCTCAGGGTCAGAAATAGTATTTTTATTTATTTTAAAGAATTGTTAATGCATCACTGTTATGATGAATATATCAATAACAAAACTATGGTTAATATCAATTATCATGTTATATTGGCAGTGTATCAATATCATTGATTGATAATGTGTCAAGGGGCTTATAAAATAAAAACCCTGGTGCATTGCAGCCACAAGGTGTGATTAGTCTATTATTTTTGAGAGCATTTATCAAGAAGCACAAAGCTTTTAGCTGTTGCTTTTCCTCTCCTGTTACCTGCATGAAATGCTGTATTTAACTAACTGGCGGGGCTTCGATTGTGATTAACAGCTTCTTTTGAAGAGGCATGTTTGCCAGTTGTGTTGAAGTGAAATTACTTATGGCCCTTCTATGCATTTCTCCATAACTTCCACCAAATCATTGGGTGGGACCATGCAGATAAGGCGTAGAGGACTCTAACTTGGCGCTTTGTCGGTTTTGCCACTCCCCTGGCTGTAAGAATAAAGCATCTCAGAAGCAGAAAGAATAAAACCTTAGGACCGTCAAGGAAGCAGAGTCACAGCGAAGCACGTTGGACCTCTGCGTGCAGTGACTGAGATAGTAGTGGTCACGTGGAGCCCAGAAGTCAAGGCAAGAAGACCTTGAGACAGAGCCGAGGACCAGCACCAAGCCCATGAGACTGTAACGCACAGCAGCTGGGCGGTTGCCAGGCCCAGGAGGCAGAGGCCAAGGGAACACATGGCTGTAGGGCTGAGAACCAGGGGGAGAGTCTGAGAGTAAGAGGAGAAGCGTTGGCGGTTCTCAGCCTTCCTCATGCCGCGACCCGTTCATACAGTTCCTCATGTTGTGGTGACCCCCAACCATAAAATTATTTTCATTGCTACTTCATCACTGTCATTTTGCTACTTTTATGAATTGGGCGACCCCTGTGAAAGGGTCATTCAACCCCCAAAGGGGTCGCGACCCACAGGTTGAGAATCACTGCTGTAGACCAATGACTTTTAATGTTTTGTGATGCTGGTTGTGATAATCTGTTAAGGTCTGTAATAAACCCCGTAATTGTGAGTGTGGTCTGGGAGTTCTGTGTGGCCATTGCAATGAATTCTCTAGCCCAGCAGAGAAGTAGAGTTCTGTGGAAAGGAGAGTTGGTGTCAGAATAGGGCAAAGAAAACTGGTGCGGGGAAGGGGCATACTAACTTCTGCCTCATGGCACTTAGCCTTGGGCTGGTGTGAAGACAGAGTTTCCTTCCCCATACTGAAGCTGAAAAGGTAAGATGTGACTCCCATCCATGCCACTTTTGCACCAATGTACATTGTATAGATAAATTATAGGTCTCAGCCAAGGCTTTTATTTGATCCCTTGCTGAGAATTTTCATTTCCACCCCAGATATACTGAAGCTGAGTTTGACAACTTAACAGGATACCCAGGAGATTTATTTAGATTATTTATGTATGCATAAGCATCACCCGAGGATTTGTTAAAATGTGAATTCTGATTCAGTATATCTGGAGTGGAAATGCAAATCCTTCACAAGGAGTTGAACCAGAATAAACCAGTTGGAAGGCCTGGTTGGGCTACCTTGGATACTGCCAATGATAACCTTCCTGGAGTCAAAGGATCTGAACCTATCCCCACCTCACCGCAGTCTGCTTATTTTCCTGACCGCAGACCTGAGCAATTTACTTTTCAGTGTGCCGTCCATCTGCCCGCTACCACCCAGCTTGATTTTCCTTTTGCTACATCAACTCTCAAATAGAGCGTGGTTTGCAGTGATCATGTGCTTCAACTCTCAATTAGAGAGTGGTTTGCAGTGGTCATGTGCTTACCCAGAATGTTGTCAACTGGGTCCTCCACGAACACCCTCTCGATTCCATCTCAAAGAACTTGCTCACCTGGGTGCTGGGTGGACTTAACTAAGAGCATTTATATTGAATAGATGAGGCAACTGAAGTAAAGAAAACATGACCCATAAATGAGGTCGGAAGCAAGGACCATGTTCACGATGCCCTTTCTCTTAAAAT